CTGAAATGGAGGTATCTCGAGAAATAAGTTATCTCAAAAGGCCCAGATGGGCTGTTTCCATCTGCGTTCAAAGATCGAGGCTCAAGGTTAGTCTTGGAGTTGACGAAACTCCTGGGCTCAATATGGAAAACGGAACACATTCCAACTGAATGGTGTGACTCGGTGTTCATACCGATTTACAAGAAGGGTGATAGATCCTCTTGTGAAAATCATAGAGGAATTAGTTTAATCAACATCGTCTCCAAACTTCTCGCTGGCATCATACTCCGCCGATTGTCTGCCGCACGCGAACGGTGCACGCGTGAGAACCAGGCTGGTTTTAGACCCGGTCGAGGTTGTATCGACCACATCTTCACTCTGCGCCAAACTCCGAAGCACCCGCGTTCTTTTCGTAGACCCATCATCTCCGTCTTCCAAAATCTGAAAGTGACTCAGTCGACCGCTCTAAACTCTGGCGCTGCCTTTTTTCGAAAGGTGTGCCCGAGAAGCTTCTATCAATATTACGATCCCTCTATACTCATAGCCGAAGCCGAGTCCGAGCTTACGGTACGCTTTCGCCCGAGTTCACAACGGGAAGTGGTGTTCGACAGGGTTGCCCTCTCTCCCCTTTTCTATTGAACTTTATTATAGATCTGATTATGGAAACAGCCCTATCCTCGTGTGAGCATAGTGGCATTGATTTAATCCTAGGTGGCAGATTGTCTGATCTACAGTATGCAGACGACAATGTGCTTCTGAGTGAAGATCCAGGCAAGTTGCAAGCTTTTCTGGATAAGTTTGAGCGCTAGTGTAGCCATGTTCGTATGCGTTTTGCACCTTCAAAGTGTTAAATCCTACTACAAGACTGGGTTAGTCCCGCACGTAGGCTCACTCTGACTGGGGAATTAATAGAGCACGTGGAGAAGTTTTTTATCTGGGCAGCTACATCTCACCCGGTGGACGCATCACCGATGCAATGTCAGCTCGCATACAGAAGGCTCTGTTGGCATTTGCCAACATGATAAGACTGTGGCGCCGTTGTGACATCCGGCTATCTGTGAGTGTATGCTGTAGCAGTTTGGCGAATTCGGCTATATGGAGCAGAAACTTGGCCATTAGGAAAACAAGGTAAAGATAGACTGTTGGTGTTTGAACATCGCTATCTACGCAGCATTGCACGAATTTGGTGGGGTAGCCGGATGAGCAATGCTGAGGTTAGGCGCAGTTTTGGGTATTTGCGGTCGCCCACTGGAGCAAGTAATCGACCTCTATAGATTACGTTGGTTGGGGTATGTGTTACGCATGTCACCAGATAGATTGCCACGGCAAGCGAAGTTTGCTGAGGCAGGTAGTGGGTGGAATAAAACCCAGGGTGGTCAAGCTAAGACCTGGCACGAGGGTATGAAAACTCTAACCAGGAAACTGGGTCACATAGGTCGTGTTAGGCTCCCTGGCTGGGGACCTCGGGATGATCGTAACTGATGGTTAGAAACACTGAGTGATATGGCTGGGTGTCGTAAACAGTTGCGTTCTTGCATCTCCTCAATTTCTTCCCAACCTTAGTTCACTGAACTTCTCCGTTTTCTTTTTGATTCCACTTCCAACTTTTCTTCTCCTATTGTTCATCCCAATGGGCAGCCAAACGACAGCAACCAAAACCGGCGCACGAAAGTGCATGGTTAATGGTTGTTCAAACTGAAACTGAAAAGTCAGGTTTCTCATCGTTTTGCACCAGGCATTAGTCTAGTCACTCGTGACCTTATTCTAACCACTATCATCCTTGACACATCCCATATATGTATTCGCTAACACGTGTGATACATACCTCAACCACTCCAATATATAGAAGTGGCGCATTTGGGCAAGTGCGTTCCTGCAATAACCTCATGATTCTCGCCGGAATTTACAATACAAAGTAAACAGTGATTTGCGCAAACCGGTAGTCTGCTTTTCTCTTCCTCTCTTTATGGAAATTCCTCAACAGCATATAGCAGCACCAACAGCCCCACTGCTGCAGTATACACTCCACCCGGGATCACATCAAAGGTGTCTCAAGTTGGCAGACATTAACTGAACCTTCGGTATTAGTACCAATACTCCATCCGAAGTGTTTTCTAGAAGTAGTAAAAGCTTTGCGAAGTCTCTCTTCATTCATAATGTGTTTGGCAGTTCCTAGCGATCGCAGTCCTGTAACACGAAAGTGCATACCGAACGTAGCTACACTAACACTCCAAGTGTACACAGAACAGCTTGCCACTCACTTAGATTTTCACCTAGCAGTAGAGCAGTGTCTTTGTACACCAGATTAAATAGATTGTCGTTTGAAAGCTCACGATAGATCGATGTATTTCGCTCTGCCAATTCATACATTTGCGCCTGATTATGTCTAGAATTCCCGGCTTGAAAAGAAAATAGGAAATAAGGTGCCCAAATGCTCGGGCTGCAATAAAATTCTGCGATTCGGCCTCTGAATGCTGCATAACACGAACGGTTTCCGATTTAAATAGTCGATAGCAAACTCTATCTTGTCAAACGCACGCTCGTCTTTGATGCAGTCAGCGTCTTTACAACTCGATGGTTTTAAGTGTGATTTATTTATTCCGTCATCACCATCGTACAGCGAGATACAGAGAAGTGAACTTCGCTGATCGCTACCAGGCTCACAATGTGGACCCTCTATAGTCAACACAAAGTGCACACCCTAACTCTGCATGCATACCTTTTCAATCATTCCTTCGTGAAAAGAAATGACAGCAAGAACACTACTACTGTCGGTTAGCTGCCATGTCCTCTAGCCAACCAATTACAGTCTTTCGGAGCCCAACCTGGAAGATGGAGACATCTACTCTACTCTGTTTCCATCACTAAAACGCAAGCCCCGCAACCATTTGATCCACCCCATCTGCCATTTATCTGCCTTGGCCTGGGTAACCTGGCAGTAGTCAGCCCACAAGCCAATTATGGAAAGTTTTTCTTGTTTTATAAAGAATATTGTACCATGATTTGCTTGGCACACAGTCTCTCCTCAGACAATTGTGAAATATAATATCTGATATGTATCACGCAGGTGGTAATAAAAAACGTTTGACTTTCTCAAACCCGTGGATGTTTTTTTGCCTCCTTTGGTTATCGTGATACCTTAGCTAGCGACTCGTTTGCATATATCCATCTACTTCATTCCGATCGACACGAATTTGCTGATCAACTGATTATTATTATAGTATTATGTATATACCTATACTATATATTATATGTATTATTGGTGTATGTTCGTTGGTTTAGTTTCGGTCAACATTCTTCCTCTTAGCGATCCACTGGAACACACCACATTGAGCACTCAAAGCACTTCCGCGATGGTCGCGTTGCGTAACCGTTTATTCGGGAACTTGGACTCGGACGAATCCAAACCACATGGTTCACCCAAACGCACGACCACTTCTGCCGGTGGTTTGTCAGTCACATCAGACCAAAACTCCTCTCGACCGACCGCGTTTGATGAAAATTCACACCATCTATGGAATGACTCTTCCTTGGATTTGCCCGTCTCGCCGGGCTTACGCAGACTGCGTTGTTCTGTCCTGGAACGAGGAGTGGACGAACCAATGGGAACAAATCGGTTAGGTCCGGATGTCAGTTGCGGTAACAGTAGTAGCAACCACAGCAAAAAGACTACGCGTCCATGTCCTCGACCGAGGCGTTCTCTGTTCCGTTGAATTTGTTAACCGGACCTCCTGGTTCATTTATTTTCTATCTCCAACCACACCTTATTCCCCTTCCATTTGTGATTAATGTGTGTATTTGTCTATATAGATTTGTTTCTTACCTGTCAATCTTTATTATTCCTCATTGTTCATGTGTGCAACATCGTTTGTAAAGGACCAGTCTGTATTTTCCCCTAAGATAATTTAATTTCTCTTTGAACACTGCTGCTATCTTCTTGTCAGCCATGGTGATAAGTTTAGTCTACAATAAAGCTTTTACGTTGAACCAGGTGCAGAATTCTCAAAGATGTCTGTCGGCGGGGGGGGGGGTCGATCATGGCGTTCTCACCTGACTGAAGTGTTTGGGGTCATGTTTCTATTGATTCGTTATTATTCAATCAGTAAATTTCGAGTTAGATTAGGGCCCTAATCGTTTCCCCGGCCGTTCTCGGGTACCAACGTATGGGGGCCGGAAGTCAGCCAATGTGCGATCGCAATTTTCCTTTCGCTCATTCCCGTGTCCTCGCACAGCTAATTTCCTCTCTCACCCTTTTTGTGATCCGATTGGATTACAACGCACAACTTGCAATCCTCCAACCAGATACGATAATTTATTTCTTTAGTTTCCTTTTTTTGTATGTCGATTGTGAAAAGTTCAGTAGCCTCGGTGGGATTCGAACACGCATGGACGTCACCTACGCTTCTTTTTTATGGAGTACGTCATTATTGTACAAGCAATTCACAGGAAGCGGGAATCGAGCATTGGAAATTATGCGATCGTGGTGGGATTCAAACTACAATCTCAGGGGCAATGTGACCCACACCGCTGAACTAACTCGGCCCAATTTGAAATGATTATGGTGATGGCAAACAACCCGGCTGCGCACAGTAGGCTAACGATTTCAAACTGCTAGCAATGTACCCGTTCTAACTCATGCTGGTTGAACAAATGCCATGTCATGCCGCGGGTGACATATAACGTCCGTCTTTAGTGGTTGTCAGACCTCTTACCCCATGCTATTCAAAAGTTCACAGCACATTTTCGAACAAGTGATCGGTCTGTGAATTCATCAGCTTAACCGTCTGTCACCCCAGCCCTCCCAACACACACACCGAAATCGGCGTGAGCGCGGGAATCGTCAAACTTGAGGGGACGACCATATCCAGGTTTAGGTGATGGTAAACCGGTACCCAAGACAAGGCGAAACATAAAAGTGCACATGGGTTGACCTACTACACACAATAGTGTGCAGGTCACAATTCAAATAGACCGCATCTCCACGCGCACACACAGTGGAATTGGGATACAGGACAAATAATTTGATAAATCAGATGGTGGTTGAGATCCACATGGAATGAGTTTGTCAAATGTTGCCTTGCAGATTTAATTTTCAGCCCTAATTTNAATTTGCTTCAATATCTCCGTTAGTTTTGTTTCTGGTTCATGCGTTTTATCCTTTTCTTTGGCATCGTGACTGAATTTGTTATCATCGGCAAGTATAGTCTTTAGCTTATCGTCATATTCAGATCGGTCCAACACCACCCATCCTGCATCTTTATCTGGTCTCGAAAGAATAACATTCCGATTTTTGGTCAATTCTTCAATTGCGTTTCTATGCTGCCTCGTTAATAACCCTTTTTCTTGGATTTTCGTTCCTTGATACTGCTGGCAATAATGAACCAATGACGATTTAAGGTTTTCTACACTAGTCTCTGATACAGATGTGAAGTCACGAAATTGGCTCAGCAAATTCTCCATTATTGTAAAAATGTGTATTTTTTCATGGATTAGCAAAACTAGGATTGCCGACACCG